ATGGGACAGCAAGGCCAGTTGAAGAATCTGCACATCTAGTTAGAAAGAGGGCAAGGATCATGAATCAAGTCAAATGTCTATTTAAAGGAAAAAGAACTAGGGGGTTGTACATATTAACTTATGAGAGGGTGCTAAATATAGTAGTTTTTTATTTTTTGTTAGAAGGTTATGCATATTGACTCGTGGAATTGACATTGTACGGCGTTGAGTCAGTTTAATGTTTTTGTTTGGTGGGAAGCCATTCCCTGGATGGGGATGTTTTAGTTGGTTATTCATATTGACCAAATGTAAAAACTAAGTTTAATGTTAATGGACCGATGTTTATTTTGTCTATGCTTTTGGAATTTCCATATTTTGTTATTGGTTGTGCTAGTTATGTTGCTAGTGTGCTAGTTTTGCTCGATGTCCTAGTTGTGCTAATTATGCTTGGTTGGTGCAGTGGTGGTGGTGGTGGTGGTGGTGGTGCGTTGGTGATGGTGGTGCACTGGTGGTGGTGGTGGTGGTGGTGCACTGATGGTGGTGGTGCAGTGGTGGTGGTAGTGGTGCAGTGGTGGTGGTGGTGCAGTGGTGGTAGTGGTGCAGTGGTGGTGGTGGTGGTGGTGGTGGTGGTGGCTGGTATAGGTGGTGGTGGTGGTGCTGTGGTTGTGGTGGTGCAGTGGTGGTGTTGCTTAGCTGGTGTAAGTGGTGCTGCAGTGGTGGTAATGTGGTTTGGCTGGTGTAGGTGGTGGTGGTGGTGCTGTGGTTGTGTTGGTGTACTGGTGGTGCACTGGTGATGGTGGTGGCGCACTGGTGGTAGTGGTGTTTGGCTGATACAAGGCTTGGTGAAGGTGTTTAGGGTGCTTGGTTGATGCAGGGTTTGGTGCTGGTACTGGTGGTTGTGCTAGTGCAGGGCTTGGTGCAGGTGTTGCTAGTGCTTATCTGATGCAAGGCTTGGTGATGGTGGTACTTGGTGGCTGGTGCACGACTTGCACTAGTAGTTATATGTGTTGGTACAAGGTGCAAGCTGCTGGTGCGCTAGTCCACCAACTATGTGTTGGTGCAACTCATAGACATCTTATGCTTGCACCAGCTATGCATTGGTGCAAGCACAAGATGCACTATGTACCAACACATAGCTGGTGCAAGCAAGCACACCAGCTATGTGCTTGTTGCTGGTGCAGTACCAGTGAAACGAACATATCAACAACTAGCACTTAAGTAGTCACTTTTTAACAATAACTGGCACTTAAGTGATCAATTTCCACCACGATTAGCACTTAAGTGATCACTTTTGACCATGATTGGCACTTAAGTGATCAGTTTCAGAAAAACTTGGCACTCAAACGATCGCTATTTACAATGTCTGACACTGAAATAAGGACTTCTAAACTTGGTACCACTCCTTCATTTGACAAGCGTTTGCAGCAACAATTGCAGCAAACCAACATCTCATTACCAGCAAACACTGCAGCAAACAATTACCAGCAATACCAGCAAACCATTGTAGCAATCCAAATATCTCAAGCAAAACTAAGCAAATAAGAATTGAGAATACACAACTAAGCAAGAGAACTTGTAAATGCTCGCAACCAATAAATTTCAACCTTCCATTTCCACTATAGATTGCAACAAACGTTTGTTCCATACAAAATAGGCTAATACAACTATATTTACAAATTACCCAATACAAGTACATATTTCACTCATCTTCAACTATAGTAGACTGAGAAACTTTTTCTCATCACTCGCCTTACATTTGACCATAAAATAGGATACACAACAGAACAATAACACAATCAATGCTCGATAACACTTACTTTTAATTTTCATCCTTGAAACTTCTTTTTCAAATGGTTGGCCAGAGATGCTAAAGCCTTCATTTCAGCTTGCATTGAGTCCACATCCTCCAATTCATCCATTAATGTAGGTGGAGGTTGATGGCGTCCTTCAAGTAACTCCAAGATCACCTTTGTCGCTCGACCAAAGAATTTCGCATCAACCCATTTGAAATATTTGCACTTCGAGCCTTCTCTATATTTGGCTCAACCATTAAATCTTCTTCTAGGATTCAACCGAGTCCAAGATGTTCTTATTGGACTCAATAACTCGCAAAAACAGTAACATTCGGCCTATTGTTCGCTTCGTTGAAATGAATTTGAGTCGCTGCCGAAGCTGCTACTCTCCATTTGCAAGATTGAGCTCATAACTTTGGAGGCAAATCAAAATAGGGTTTCAATTGGGGAGAAGATAGTCGGTTAGGGTTGCAAATTGAGAGATTCTCTTTCAATTTGGGGATTTAGGGTTCTTATTTGGAGGAAAGAGTACTAAACAGTGTCATTTTAGGGATAGGATACTGACTGGACTCTCCGGCGAGCCACGTCGGCTTAAGAAACTAATAAAAAAAGGCTACGTTGGATTTCTGGCCAAACTAATCGGAGTTGGCACTGCAATGAGCATATTTCAAAAAATTTGGTACTAAAGTGAGCGCCGTATACAAGTTTTGGCACTTCTGTTGTTCTTCTCCCTCCTCGCTACTATCAGCAAAATGTGGTTTCGTGGACCAATTATCTTGGGTTACCTTTCCACGAAATAAGTTAAACCCCGGGGAGTTATTTTTCATGTCAAATAATCATCTTCATTAAGAATCGGCAAGCATAATGTTCATATGGATAACGGTGCTGATATAATGTGATGATGTATGGGAAAACACTAAATCTTGTTAGTAAGAAGATAAACCCTGCATTCTTATGTTATAGTGTCTACATACAGTAATGTTCTTTTCCTAAATAATCTTTGTGTTGGGGTTTTTTATTTGATTTTATTCTTGTCTTTTACTTCTGGGTCATATAGCAATTTCAATTTGCCCAATTGCTTTGTGAGTGCTAAATTTATGTCTTGTTATGAAGTCTACGTGCAATTGATGCTAACTACATGTACATGTATAACTTGTGAAATGTGCTATTATGTAAATTGTTGTATGAGAATTGACTGTGCTATATTATGTTTGTGAATGTAAGACTGAATGAACAAAAAGTATGGATCAAACGGAAAGATATGAAGGTTAAATATGGAATTCAGAGTTGTAATTTTATAGCTATGTGAATATACAACTATGGCATTTTACATAGTGGATTTCCCGCTATAAAAGAAGGATACAGTGATGTTAACGGGATCTCATATTCAGATGAGACAAAATACACTACAGGATATGTGTTCACCTTTGGTGGAGATGATGTAACTTGGAAATCAACCAAACAAAAATTGTAGGGGAAATGACAATCCTGCTAAACCAAAAGTTGGCTTGATTAAAGTAGATGATTTGATGACGTAATTGCTATGGTCATTTGCCAAGCCAGTATTGTAGCCAATGTGAAAGAATGGGTGGTAAACTAAGATTTGGCAAGAAGGCAAAGTAGCTACGAAATTTCTTGGCAGATATTCCTTTGTAAATGAAACCAACACCTTTGATGTCTGTGCATTGTGATTGCCAAGCGGAAATAACCATTGCAATGAAAAAAATTTCCTTGGTAAAAATAGACACATTTGATTGAGGCATGATGTAGTAAAGCAATTGCTTAAGGATAAAATTATGTCCAACGATTATGTAAAGTCAGAAGTGAATTTGGTCGATCCTCTAAATATACATAGAGGGGAATGGGACCAAAGCCAATTGAAGAAAATTAACAGTGATGGTAACCAATCTATGTGATTGGCAATCCCATGAAGTAAGTTCATATGGATAATAACAAGTCACTTATTGACGTAATAATGAACTATTTAAATTTTTTTGTCTCTCCTAAGGTGAGAATAGTAATAAAAAAGAGGTTAAGCCAAGCTCTTAATTAATTCCATAACCATTATTGATGGTGTATTAAACTGTATAATATATTTGATGGAATCACCTATAAGTATGAAGTGGGGCGTCTCCTATGAGAATTATTGGGCTAATTCAAAAAAAAAAAAGCATCAACTTCACCTTGAGTAACAATTCTGGCCCGAATTTTTTTTTGTTTCAATAAAAGAACCAACTTTTACTTGAGTCCCAAATCTGGCCCCCGTGATATGATATTTTCAAATTATTTGGGCCAGATTTGAGATTTAAGTGAAAGTTGATGAATTTTTATGAGACAAAAAAAAAATTCAAATCAGAATTGTCATTCAATGTAAAGTTGATGCTTTTTTTTGGAATCAGGCTAATAATTATTGGTAATAATCTTTAGAGCACTTATGAATAAACCAAGCATGCGCATGGCCTATTAGCACAAAACCGCATTGAACAAAATTTTTGGGAGTGTAATGTGATTGGTGAAAATTAAAATTCACACAAAGAAATTCTTAGTTCATAGAATTTTCAAACTTCACCAATGATTTCGTGAATTATATTTCATTATTTCTAGATCTGATTCATAGCCTAACAAGTACCAGTTTCATGCATTACATTCTAATAACCCAATGTTATTCTTTCATTAATCTATAACAGTTTTATAACGATTTTGTAATAGTCTTGATTTCTATCAATTAACAATGCATTTATAATGTTTTTCAATTAAATGTAAGAATTTATGATGGAAAATGACTCTCTTTCTTTTACCTACGTATTATTACTCTGAACATAATTGAAACGAGAGATATATGTAAACACAATTTTTATATATCTTTCATTTTTTGTTGGGTTATACATACAACGTTGTTCTTGTTCCTTTTATTATTCTGTTCGAAATAAAGAAAAAGGTCGGTTGTATCTTGGGAGGATAGTTGCTCAAACCTATCACACCGAGTTTCCTACTTCGAGGAGCGGAATTATCCTTAAAAATAGTGCTTGCACGCCTCAAATTATTGATTTAATTAAATTTTTCTTCTTTTTCGACAGATTTCCAACAATACTACTTCTCATACCCTCTAAATTTTTCCGACAGTTCTTACTAGTTTGTCCCATGATTCTCAGTCGGGTCAATATCCTGCTTAATTATGAGTGTCCGTTTGACTTTGTAATTTGTTGCAATGTATGGACTAAGCATGGATGATAGATAACCTCGTCCTGCATAATTACGGTTGAATTGTGACTTTATCGACTCTTATAGCACCCAACAGGAAACAAATTTAACTGAACCCTTAAGCTAGTTTATAACTAATTTACAATTACAGGGTCCATTATATCCTCTCTCTCTCTCTCTCTCTCTCTCGTGCTGCATCAAAGGGCCTCCTGTGAGTAGATCAGCAAACTGGCATTAGGAGAAGATGAAGTGGAGCTAGATTCCTGGCCTTGAAGGCGAAGAAGACGATACACAAAAGCGCCCGCAACGGCCCCTGTAACCGGCGCCATGATGTATATCCAGATGGCCTCAAAATCCCAACTGAGAATTGCAGGTCCTAACGATCTCGCAGGGTTCATTGATGCTCCAGATACAGGCCTGGGAATTAACAAACAGAGCTCAGAATGTCTGACTGAAGAGCTTTCGAAAGAAAAGTTTATCCTGATGAAATTGTAGATGGGAACAAGTGTTCGCGCTCACCCCGTGATCACTACCGCAAGTCCAATGCCTATTCCTATGACAAATCCAGATAGCTGGCCGACCTGCAAAGTTTTTGAGGTAATGATAAATTTATCACATCCACTGACATGGACTATTGTCTCCAGTATATCTGTACAATGGGTATCAAAGTGCAAAATTTCCATCTTACAGATTGATGATTGTAAGTCAATCCTGCGATTAGGAAGACCATGATGAATGTCGCCAAGAATTCCACCCAGAAGGCAGAGGCGGGGCCTCCAAGAGGCCGTGTGATCATGAGACTCAACTCGATGCCGTAGACCAATGCTCCAACATAAGTCGCCAATACCGAACCTGTCAACTGAGCAGTAATGTAGAGTGGGACCTGCCAAAAAGAGAGAGAACATCAACAAATGTCTCAGGTATATAGAACTGGTCATGGAAATTGGATAATTAGTGAGGTACTCACTCTAGACCACGGGAAGTGACCATAGGTTGCAAAGGCGATTGTGATGGCTGGATTAACATGAGCATCGGAGATGGGCCCTAGAGAGAATATAATGATGACTATGGTCATCCCAGCTGTGGCGGCATACCCCATTAGGCCGACTTCACCTTTTAGCAGTTGTGTCATCGATACTATTGCCGATATGCAGTACATCAGGATGAAAGTTCCTACAGCCTCTGCTAAAACCTGCAGTTGAATGGAACAGAGACATTCACTGAGCTATTCTTATGAAAGAGAAATGTTGAAGCTACTGGAGCTTCTATAGTTTCATAGTTAGCTCTCAACGACTAGTCTTTACTTCGCGGTAGATGTTTGCATTTCCTCAGTTGTATGTTTGCAGCTTTTCCGAGAAGAATCAATGAAAGTTTAGGTCAGAACTTCTAGCTCACCATACGAGCCGTATTAAGCTTCATTCCTTGACGAGAGCGACCAAGGATGAAGTCTTTAAGCATCGAACAATCTCTATTTCTCAGTTGTACATTGCGGCCGCTCTCTTGATCCTCCATTGAGGGACTGCTTGTGGGTGATGCTGCTTCTTTGGGGAACTGGTTCATATTCAAGCCCGTCGTCATGTCGTCCACACCCCCAAAATGCAAGACTATACTAGACAGTTCTAAGATTCTTTTAAGGATGTCTCACACGAATATGGCAGAAGCACGGTCGAAGAAATAGCAGCAGAGGATTAGGTTGATCAGAGACGAGGCTTAAAGAGCCATGTCGTTCGCATGATTTCGCACCTAATCACAAAGTTCGAGTCCTGAAGGCAAGTGTAGAGAGACGAAGACGCTTCGGCGCGATGCATGTGTTGCTCCCAGAAGTAGGAACAAGAATGAACTCATGCTGCTCAACTGTCTCTCTTGAGAAGTTGAACCGTTACGAATCCTACAAATCTTGATTCTGGGTTGACCTCCCCTTTTCTCCTTTTTCAGTATAAAATAGGGATATAATAAGCTTTCTAAAGTCAATTATCCACTTCTTCCAAGCCGCGATTCAAGAGTGTGATAGGCTTGCTTTGAATGCTCAGAGTAAAGTACCTGCTAATCGATTGACATGGCCCGATTGCGTTCGCCAAATAGGCGGTGAAGCGGATCCAGACTACATTTAATCGAGTTTTTGTCATAAACAGGTCATAAACTGCTCAACTATCTCTCTTGCGGATTGACCCTTTTAAACCAATGGGGCTCATTAGGACAGTTAGAAGCAATTAGATCAAATCTCATATGGTATTTGAGCCGATAGTTAATTAGTATTCAACGCCCAATTTGTTCCGGTGTTTGGTGAATACCTCAATGAGAGAAAGGACCTCATGATCAACATGGTGTCCGTGTGATGGGCGTTGTAGTGTAGCAACGCGGTCTCAATGACATACTTCATGATTCGGTCTACAGAAAGATAGAACACAATGTGGGAATTTCCTGAAATTGTGTCGCTTTCCTTTGAAACATCATGTGATAGGTAGAACGCAATGTGGGAATTTCCATGGTCCCTTGAGGATCAATCCACCGCCTAGAAACGTCGTACTTTAGTGCATTTCCTCGCCCCTTCTTCACGAAAGACTCTACTTCACAAAGATTTCAAAAGTGTTCAATGCAAGACCGAGATTTGATATTTTGAGTTTCAAAGGTCACCAATCCCAAAGTTTGGAACACGTAGAAGTGCCCAACAAAATGTGCTCAGTAATTCCCGGCACAATTCTCTCCCTCTCTGCAATGGAAAAAACAAAGCATGGGTTCAACGTTTAAATCAATGTAACTTTCCATTTTACGAATAGTTAATGCCATCAAAAACTTCAAACTAGTACACATATAATAAATTTACCAAAACTAATATTTTGACCACTAAAAACCCCCAAACTGGTACATCTGTGACAAATTTACCCTCTGTTAATTTCTGTTAAATTTTACCATCAAATTTTTGAGTTAGATAACACGTGACAGTTGACGAGAATACCAGTTTAGGGTTTATCCCTCCGTTTATCACAGGTAGGGCCATCAAACGTGTGGGTCAGGTCGGATCAAATATGGTCCGACCCATATTGACCCATTTAACTCGTTTTGACGCATTTTCATGCAATACAAATATAGTGATCCATACCCAACCCAACCCGTACCCGACCGAAACCATATTACCAAAACACATTAATATTATAGGGAAACCTATACCCACCCATTTAACTCGCTTTAAACTCTTCACATGTATATTTTACAAAAATAAAACTTCGCATCAAATTAAAAAAGCAAATTAAACAATAAAAAAAATTAGTAAATAAAATATGTGAAAAGCCTATAAATTGAAATACTTATTATAAAGAACTTAAGACTAGGAAAATGAGTTTCAAATCATTTGTTACTTAATTTTAATAAGCCCAATTTCATATGGGTAACTCATTTTTTTCTAAATAGATTATAAATGAGTCGAGAAAAAATAAAAAGTCAAAAGTGACCCATATTTTAACTCATTTTCCAAAATCAACATCCACTCAAGCAAGTTATGCGGTTCTAATCCTACGAATAGTTCAGTGATTTTCAAGGACCAAACCGAGAATCATAAGTTCCTATATTTGTCAGACTCCGAAAGCTAGCCCGACATAGTTTAATCGTGTGAGCTAGATACCTTCGAGTCTCATATCATAGAGCACATCGATCGCTTCCCCATTCATCCCATTCCAAACATAGCCACTAAAATGAAGTTCCGAGCGACCACATTTCTCTTAGGTATAGAATCAAACACCTTCCGTGCATCCTACGACAGCCTCCACTTCCCGTAAAAATCAGTGAGACTACTCGCCACAAAAGCACATCCACCAAGACCCATCTTCTCCACATATCCATGAACCCCTTTATCAAAACCCAATCCACATCAAAGTCCCACAAGCCTTCAACGAATTCGGGACCACGAAATTATCTGGCAAAACACCATTTTCCTGCATTTCGCAATATCCAATCAAAGCCTCCTCGCAGAGCCCCACTCTACACGGCAATCCCAAAGTTCAGGAAAGCAAAGTTGCTCCGAGAAATTCGCAGTAGTAACAAGAATCTTCACAAATAAGGCAACAGAGGCGAAACTGAGCTGAGTCCAATCACCAGGAAATCGCAGCAACTGCATCGGCGAAGAGCAAAGTAGGGGTCACTGACGGGGGACGACCGGGCTCGACGGCCAGTTGACGTGCCCTCTTCCCTCGACGAGCTTGATGGAAGTGTCCCGCACCGGGCTCGCGGGGCCACTGCTCCTTCCACTTGCGGCGTGGCGGCGTCACCACGCGGTGGCTTCGCCCGAGGGGATTGCGGTTGCCGCGATGGCGTCCGTTCGGGGATGGAGTCTGGCGGCTGTGGCGGCGGCGGCGATGAGGGAAACCGGAAGACGATCCGAAGCGGAGGGGCGGAAGAAACGGAGAGGGGGGCGGCGAGATTCCAGTGAGAGAGAAGAGAGGACGAGGAGTCAAGTTGGGTCGAAAGTGGGTTTGTTACTCAACCCATTAAAATCCATATTTTTTTGGGCCTTTTTTCTTTAGAACCCATATTGATCCGTATTTTAAAATTTGGCTGACCCACTTGTAACTTATTTTCATAAATATGAGTTAAGATATGGATTTGTGATCCATTTTGATAGCCCTAACTTTACAGGTGCACTAGTTTGTGATTTTTCGTGATATTAATCAAACTTAAAGGAAACTAACGGAAAGTAAATTTATCACAAATGTATCAATTTAGGATTTTTGGTGATCAAAAAAATTAATTTGGAGTAAATTTGACACAAATATACTAATTTAAGATTTTTCGTGATATCGAACCTTTTACTAAAACAGCAGCTTGGTAGCAGCATATGACTTATCTTTTTTTATAGATTTTCCCATTAGTTTTCTTTTCTCGCGTGCAATGAACTCGTTATGCCATTTTTATTTCACGAAACTCCATTACAAATTAACAGGAGATATTGCAGAAGGAGCTAAGATAGGGGGACGTCAGGGGCCAAAATGCAAAGTTGACATGCCCCCAGGCACGTCACGATCTCGAGGAGCAACTGGAGTTTTGGAGGAGGAGCGAGTTGCTGAACCCAAACGTCGACGACCCCACGTCGAACTCCACCAGATTATCCTCCATCTGATGAGCTCCGATCACGATGGATGTCCTCAGCTTGGACCCTCCATCCACAAACCCCAGGCACATCACGTCCTTGCTCACCCTCGCCATCGAGTTCGCCCCTTCCATCCTCCACTGCACGCCGCTCCGGAGCACCAGCACGATGGTCGGCACGTGTGGACCGGCCGCCCCGCTCTTCACCGTCTTCGCGTCGAAGCAAGCCCCGAACGGCGCGACCGGCGCCGCCTTCTTGATCTTCCTGTCCATCGCCTTCTTTATGAATTCATTCACCAGAGGCCTGAAGATCGCCGAGTGGAGTACCGTGTACGGAGTAAGAGTGGCGATTTTGGTCCCCCCGACGCCGTTCTTGTCAATCGTGAGGATCGAGGACTTGAAGCTGATTGGAGCGAAATCAACTTTGATGGTAGTTACGTCGATGAAGTACTCGTCGGAGGCCTCGCCTTCGCTGTAGACGGGGGCCCGTTTCACGGGATTGACGAGGAGCTGAGTGCGGAGGAGCGATTTCGCGAGGTCTTGCTTGATCGGAGGTCGCGTGTATGGGCCGCCGCCAACGTAGAGGTCGCCGTGGCCGGCTCCGGAGGAGGAAGAAGGGAGGCAGAGAGCGAATATGCGGGGGAGGTTGAGTTGCGTGGAGAGCTCTGTGGGGAGTGAGGCCGGGTTCCTCGCGAGCGCGACAATGCCTTTGGTTGATTTCGCTAGTCCCTCCGTCGTCCCGTTCAGGCCGTCGTCCACGCAAGAGAAAGCAAATCGTTGCTGGAAGTAAAAAAACAAAAAGAATAATTATCCCGATTTGGTGAGATTTCTCTGAATTATTTCTTCATTTTTTTCTTAAGTTCAGCGATTCATGCACGATGTCACGAAAATAGCCCACTCGTGCATGTGAATCGACGCTTGTTTGCCTCACTTCAATGACATTCGACTTACATATTTACTCGTGGACTTGTACTTGATCCCGTCCGTGGAGTGCAACACCAGGACGTCCTCTGCGAGCCCCGAGCCCGGGAGCACGTTCAGGAATGGGTTCGCCGCGTAGACGCCGCACGTGTCGTTGGTGCAGCCGGGCTTGGCGGGGCCGTAGCAGCCATTGCAGCTGAGGCTGCCGGCGGCCTCGCACCTGGAGGAGTTGCAGTGGACGGGGCGGTAGGAGGAGGACCTGTAACTGCTGCAGTCGAGCCATGTGTACTCGCCCGCGAGGTCGAGGACCGCGTTCATGGCGGTGGGGGGAGTCCCGAGCTGGAGGGTGGTGTAGTACTGGTTGGTGGCAGCATCTTTCTTGAGGGGGAATACGAGCGGAGCGGGTTTGGTTGTGGCAGTGGCCGCGGCCGCGGCCGTGGAGGGAGTGGAGGAGGCTAAGCCTAAGATGAAGGTCAGGAGGAAGAAGGGAATGAGAGAAGGTGTTGACATTGTTGGAAGGTGAGATAGATTGCGTGGAATCAGCCTTTGGTTGTTCTCATGATTTATATAATGCATGCCACCCTTCTCCCGTGTAAAGTTTTATTTTACTTTTTGCTAGCTCAAGCGCACGAGGTCAGATTTCCAACTACTTAGAAGTCAATGGAATATCAAGTTCGGGCCGTTAAAGGGTCATAATGGTAACCATTCTGCTCCAGAAATCAAATTCTTGAAAGAAATTGATTTCTGGAGGAGAAATCTGTTTGGTAAAACATGACTAATTCTGCTCCAGAAATTGATTTCTGGAACAGAAATCTGTTTTGATTTGTTGATTTTTTTTGCACCTAAAAAAATTTAAATTTTATTCAAAGTGGATGGCCACATGTATTATAAGCCATTCTGTAAAGTTTTGAAATTTTTTATTTTTTTTAATTTTTTTGGGCACCTAAAAAGTTTAAATTTCACTCAAAGTGAGTAGCCACAGGTATTCTAAGCCATTTTGTGAAGTTTTGAATTTTTTTTATTTTTTTGGGCACCTCAAAAAATTTAAATTTTACTCAAAGTGGGCAGCTATAGATATTCTAAGCCATTCTGTGAAGTTTTGAAATTTTTTATTTTTTTGGGCACCTCAAAAAATTTAAATTTCACTCAAAGTGGGTGGCCATAGGTATTTTAAGCCATTTTATAAAGTTTTGAAAATTTTTATTTTTTTATTATTTTTCGTTTTTTTGGGCACCTCAAAAAATTTAAATTTCACTCAAAGTAGGTGGCCACAGGTATTTTAAGTCATTTTGTGAAATTTTGAAATTTTTGATTTTTTTTGGGCACCTCAAAAAATTTAAATTTCACTCAAAGTGGGTGGCCACATGTGTTTTAAGCTATTCTGTGAAGTTTTGAAATTTTTTATTTTTTTTATTTTTTAAAAAAAAATTCACCAAATTTCATATTTTCCCGAAATCTGACTTTTTTTTATTTTCTGGAATTTTTTTTGAATTTTTCTAGAATTTTTCAATTTTTATGCATTTTCTGAAAAAAAAAATTTGTGAGAAAATAAGGAGAATGCATTCCGGAATCAAGAAGCTACAAAAAGTAGCTTCTCTTTTTCTTGCCAAAAACTCATTCCGAAATCAAAAATGCATTCTGGAATCAAGAATGCATTCTGGAATCAAGTATTTTTAACAAACGCATTTTTATTCCAAAATTAAAAAATCGCTCCGTAATGCATTCGGAAATTTTTAACAAACGCCGTTGTTTCTAATGCATTCCGAACAAATTTTATTCCGGAATGCATTCCATGCGCACCCTAATAGGTGCAAATTACCCTAATTCATAATAAGTTGCACGCGATTTATGGGATTTCATCGTATACTTCCCAGTTCTTGAATCGAGAATTCTTCAATGTCTCGACTAACTAGGCTACCTCGACCTCCTTTTTCTCTTTCCATGCTCCTTTCTTGTGTAAACTTCATGGCTCTTTTAGTTTCATAAAGTTATTGCGAAGCCCTTTAGACAGATTAAGTTCATTAGGTCACGACAATCATCGATCTCGTTATTTCTTGAAATTTATTTAGCATGTTCGAATGATGAATCTAAACCATATTTATTATAAGGATCACGACATTTATGACGGCTCTTTGGTTTGCTTTCTAAGTCCCTTGGCTCCGCAACCGGTCCGCCACGTTCAATGACTTCCCATGTGACCGTACGGACCCATCATTCAATTCGAAATTTAAGACTAGACCTAATTCGCCGCCCTCGAAGACTGTTCAAGGCAATGTTGATATGAACCCTTCGGTTTCGCAAGGGCACCTTTACTTCGCTGCCTACGAAAATCAGAGTCATTTATTGCATTGTCTGTGGATAATGTGGGACCAAAATCATCGAAACTTTGGATCCCAGCGTGCAGCTCACCTGACCAGCCATTCGTATGGAAGTAATTCACGTTATCTAAGAACGGGGTACTGCTCGGAAACATTAATATGCGACATACAGAACACAATGAGGGAATTTCTATTGTCTGTAGAGGCATTGATCCACAGCCTAAGACCGTCGTGCCTTAGTGTATTGTGTTGTGCCTTCTATACAAGCTGTTGTACTTCGCAAATACTTCAAAAGTTCTCGACGGAAAATCGAGATATGTTCTCTTGTGGTCCGACGGTCGCCGATCCCCATTGATCGGATTTTTCGGAGATTTGTAGAAGTGCGGGACGAAACTTACTTAATAATTGTACGTAAAATTCTGCACATCTCTCCAATAAAAAAACAAATCATGGGTTCGACTATTAAACCACTGGGGCTTTTCATTTTTCCAATCCATGTTGTTTTCTTACATTATTATCCACGTGGGAATTGGGCTCCATGTGATTTCTCCATCTTCCAAATATCGAAAGTTGGATAACTCTTGGAGAAATTGATTGGCACCAACTCAGCAACTTGGCGGCAGCATCTATTGTTGCAGAAGATCTTATCATCGATTCGTGAAATCTGGAAGGAACCAATTGAGACAGAGTACTATATCTTCGGGGAAACCTGATATGATCATAAATCAATATCACCAGGAAATCAGATATAATCAGAAATTGCTGATATAAGCCAAGTACCTATATTACCTACATAACAATTTATCATGCGCTCCAGAAATCTAGATAAAAATATCCCGTGACGATTTTTATCTGGACATTTATGGTAGCTAATTATCTGGCTTGGATTCTTAAACGAAGAAATTGATTAGTTATCGATCTTGAGAAATATCTATGTGGAAGATCCTGATTACATGTGATATATTGACTGATTGATAATCATTTGGAAGACAGATTTGTTTCCATAGTTCAAGGTACTTTGTTTTTGGAAACTAGGAGATTTAATTGTACAGGCAACCAAATCTCCAGAAACTCAGAATGATTGATTTCAATAACTAGATTGATCTTCTCAACGATTGAACAACGGATAGCTTGGAGATTGATCCTCTTGAAGATTGTCCAACATACATATCGGAAACCGAAGAGTATAAAAGGAATCAACAGACACCGAAGGAAAGGGAAGCATCAAGATTGGCGAGCAATCTAATCAACAGAGAAAGTTTTACATATTTATATTATTTTTTAAGTGTTTTGAAAAGTGTGATCTCTTGAGAAGTATATAAGTGTTATAGTTTGTGCTTAGGTGTATAATAGTGTGATATATCTTATAAGCAACATCAGTTTCGGAAAGAAGTGCTTTGAGTATAAGTGGCACATACTATTGTAACTATTTAGAAAAGGTAAAGAAGAACATACTATTGTAACTAATAAGAAGATTACTAGCGGAATCCAGCCAGTAGGCTGTTAGTTTGAGAGTGTGAACGTAGGATTACCAAGCCGAACCATTATAAAGCTTTGTGTGCATCATTTTCTATCTCTCTGCTTATTTCCATATTTGGCTGATAGAAACGCCCTGCATTTGATATAACTACATTTTCTCGCTAATATCAACTCGTCTCTGTTATGCAGCTCATATTTTACTTGACGTTTATATTTACAAGTAAGCTAGTCAAGTGTTCTTGAAATCACCTATTCACCCCCTTTAGGTGATATTAGCCACTACACTTACAACGCCCCAACTCTTCCCTCTTCGTCATCTACATTGCCGCCCTAATGGCCGGCTGTGCCTAGGTTTCCTAGGCCATCAACCTCGTCAACACCAGCATGATCGGCTCGCAAGCCACGATGGTGCTCAACATCGATGGCTTCGTCGTCGCCAAGACCTACAACATCTCCGGCTACCACTCAATGGTTGAGTCGAAGCTCTCGTTTGAGGTGCACTGATGACTCGACCCTCTACTTCCTCCTCCAGCATCTACCCCACCTCCTCCACTCCCTCAAAACGCTCCAACCGCAACCTGCACAGTTGCTGCCAGCAGCAGCCGAGCCCGGCCGGCTCGCAAGCGCCCCCGATCCACTTCGACACGTGGACCAAAGGAAAGAGAGAGGAGAGTAATGGAGAAGAGAAAAAAAAATTTGAAAAATGGGCTCCACTTCGACACGCGACAATCAATTAGTAGACTGGAGTATGGCTTACATGACACTCCTGGAGCACCAAGCATTTTCTCCAGGATTAGAGCATTTCTAACCGCCCTTTGGTTTGCTTTCGAAGTCCTCAGCTCCACCACCGGTCGGCCACGTTCAATGACATTCTCCGCTGGACCGTACGGACAGCTGGTTCAATTCAAAATTTAAGACTAGACCTAATTCAAAATATCTCCGCTGCAATGATTAACGGGACAGAGACATCTCAAGCCAATGTTGACTGATAGTATTAACCCTTCTGTGTCGCAAAGGCCATCTTTGCTTTGCTTCGCCTCGTCAGAAACCACAGCCTTTATTATATTGCCAATAAATGAACTGGATCAGAAGATCATTTCAAACGTCGATTATATGAATCTCAGCATGCAGTTCACATGGAATTCATCCAGGCAACATAAATTCCTGAAATGGTGTCATTCTCCTTGGAAACATTAACATGCGATAGATAGAACAAGACGGGGGAATTTCCACGGTCCTTGAGGATCAATCCGCTGCCTAGAATCGTCGTACTTTAGTACATTTCATCGCGCCTTCTGTACAAAGTACTGTACTTCACAAAGATTTCAAAAGTTTTCGATGAAAGACTGAGATATGATATTTTGTGTTTCAAAGGTCGCCATTCCCAAAGGTCGGATTTTCGGAGGCACTCTAGAAGTGCCCAACAAAACGTGTTCAATAATTCTCTCCCTCTCTGCATTTTGTTGAACCTAAGCACAAACTATAGTTTTGTTGGGCACGTGTAGAAGTGCCCAACAAAACGTGTTCAATGTAACTTTACATTTTACAAAACATTCACAGTCTGATAATATTCTTGGAGAAATTAATTGGTCCCAACTCAGCATATTGGTAGCAGCATATGACTATCTTTTTATAGATTTTCCCATTAGTTTTCTTTCTCGTGCGCATTGAACTCGTCATGCAATTTTAATTTGACGAAAGTCCATTACGAACTCACAGGAGATACTGCAGAAGGAGCTAAGATAGGCGAAGTTGATATGCCTCTTGACATTCTTCTTTTGATCTTTTTCTGTGTGAAAGAGGAATTAAGATATTGTCTTATTTGTTTTGGCACGAATTCAAAGGGGCAATCCTAGGTCAATAGGATCTGTCCAAGTTGAAGAAGAACCATTTGGCTTAAAGGACAGATCGATGTTCGCTTGATGCTAGAAACAAAAGGCAAATTCTAAGTCGATAGAATGAAGAAAGATCGATAGATCACATAATTGCAGATTTTGTCCATATGTTTAATCAAGTGAGATCAATTAGCTAGGCTCTGCAGCTTGTCATGTACGTTAATTATATTAACCAGGTAAAACCCTTCAATAAAAAGACCCCTACATCTAATGGATCCACGGTTATTTATTTTTAAATGCGGTTCCCTCTAAGTAGAAATCAAATAACTTCTACCTCGGTAGATGGTATTTCTTTGGAATTACGTATTACTATCATTCATTTTTCTGATAATCTAATAACTCTTGGACCATAAGGTTGGTAGGCCATCTTAGGGGACTGGATCTTGGGCTCGGTTGTCGAGGACCTGGGTACGGTGCAGGGACTCGAGGCCATCTTTGGGGGACCTTAGGCCTGGGGACCGAGGACCAGAGCCTGACCTCGAGGAACCCAAGCACAAGCCTTGGCAAACAAGCGCGGGAGGCTGGGTAACTAGGTCCCGCCCTTAGGGTCCCAAGCAAATGGCACGAGAGCCTTGGACCCGGGCATAGGTGCCAAGGTCTAGGGCCCTTGGCATTGGGGACCTAAGCTCGACCTTGGCGTTCTCCGTGCCGAGTGCACATGTCCCCAAGCCAAGAGCAAGGATCCTTGGTTGGCTGACCAGGGGACCCAAGACTAAGCATCGGAGTTTGAGCGCTAGAGTCCAGCCATATTTTAGAAAGTGATTTTTGATTTTTAGAAAGAAAATTGTTATCCTGATAAGCCATTGACTCATTTCCCTAAGCGATTTAAACATTGAAAAATGAGCAAAATATTTTGTGACAGTGAATTTTCTACAAAAAAAAAATGGACTCTCAATAACTTTTTGTGTAATTTTGATTTCATGACTGTCAATCCGATTTAATGGTAAACAAAAACAATTTAATGAGATAGACGAAGTAGGGCTGGACAGGAACCGGCTCAGTACGTCGTGGATGATATGAAAGTTCACATTCCTCCGGCTTTCTTCTTTTCATTTCTTCTCGTCTTTTGGCAGGATCCAAATTGGTACAACATATATAGGGTCACACTCCAACTCTACAAGTATATGAAAATGACACTACCGTCCTTCTACTCGAAAGACATAGTCTCAAAACACATAATCAATCACACCCCGTACGGTACTTACTTGAGTGCCATATCTTAATTTTATAATCCATAACTTAATTTTAAGGTGACTCATATATGACCCGCTTTCATAAATGTGGGTTAAAGTATAGGTCTGTGACCATTTTGACACCCGCACTCAAAATAAAAGATATAGATTGTTATTCATACGCGTAAAGCCTGAAATGCAAGGCAACACTCAAAACACCAAGCGAACTTGTCATCTTTCTCAGATCAGCAAGGCGGGGAAAACTGCTCAAAAATGGGAGCAACTGGAGTTCTGTAGGAGAAGCGAGTTGCCGAATCCAAACGTGGACAACCCTACATCGAACTCCACCAGATTATCTTCTATCTGATGACCTCCGATCACCATCGCGCCCATCCCGTACGATCCTCCATCCAAGAACCCCAGGCACATCACGTCCTTGTTCACCCTCACCATCGAATTCGCCCCTTCTATCCTCCATTGCACAGCGCCCCGGAGCACCAGCACGATCGTTGGCATGTCCGGACCGGCCAACCCGCTCTTCACTGTCTTCGCGTTGAAGCAAACCCCGAATGGTGCGACCGGCGTCGCCTTCTTGATCTTCCTGTCCTTCGCCTCCTTGGTGAATTCCTTCACCAGAGGCGTGAAGATCTCCGAGTGGAGGAGCATGTACGGATTGAGAGGGTTGATCGTGGCCCCCCCGAAGCCGTCCTTGTCTATCTGGAGGACCGAAGAGTTGAAGGTGACCTGAGCGAAGTTGACTTTGATGGCGGTTACATTGATGGTGTACCCATCGCCTTCGCTGGAGACAGGGGCGATGCTCCCTGGACTGATGAGGAGCTGAGTGCGGTGGAGCAACTTCGCGAGGTCTTGCTTGATCGAAGGCCGCGTGTACGGGCGGCCACCGACGTAGAGGTCACCGTGGCCGGATATGGAGGAGGAGGAGGAGGAGGAAGGGAGGCAGAGAGCGAATATGCGGGCGAGGTTGAGTTGCGAAGGGAGCCTGGCGGCGAGCGAGCTCAGGTATCTTGCGAGCGCAACCATGCCTTGGGCTGATTCCGGCAGGTTCTCCGCCCAGAACGATTCCGCGCAAGTGAAAGGAAATTGTTGCTGGAATAGAAAAAAAGGGAAGAATTAGAAAAAATAATAATAATAATCGTCTCCATTTGGCGAGATCTCTCTAAATTATTTCATTTTTAAAGTCTTGTGGTTCATGCACGATGACACGAAATAGTCCCACTTGTTTATATGAATTGACACCTTTTTTTTCTCAATTCAATGATTCAATCGCCTTACCTGTTAAATCGTATTTATAAGTTCGATCATGTCAGCACGAATTAATACGAATTACAAATCATGTTATGCCGGACAAATTATTAGTTCTATTGGCACAATGAGGTTCGGACGAAGTAATAACATTTTTCGTCCGCTAATTTCTGTATCGTGTTAAACTTTTTTTCTGTGTTAGACACAAGGTGAAAAGCTGTATGCAAAAGTCAGAATCTTGGCATCAGAGGATGCAAAGTGTAGGTGAGGGAAAATTCCAGGGTGGATTTGAAAATTTGCCTTGGTTTGGGAATCCAGATTAATGTAGTTAATTGAAGTTCTCATTCAGGAGATATTTAACCAAGATGCGCGTTAGCTTAAGTGGTGACTAGACATGCCACTCCTCTGTTTATGGGATAATGACACTATGGTCCATGAACTATTGAATGCTATAGATTTTTACATAAAACTATCTGTTGTATTTAGGTTTGGCCAACACCTTGAAAAGAACAAGTAAACGAAAGAAGATATTCGACTCACAAATTTGCTCCTGGACGGGTGCTTGATCCCCTTCGGGTATTGCAAGACCAGGACGTCCTCGCCAAGTCCGGTGGACGTCATCAGGTCCGAGGATGGTGTCGCCAAGATGACGCCACACGTGCTGTTGGTGCAGGTGGTACCGCTGGGGCCGTAGGAGCAGTTGATGCAGCCACCGCCGCCAGGGACGTCGCACCTAGAGGAGTTGCAAGGGACGTGGCGAAAGGATGAGGACTTGTAGCCACTGCAGTTGAGCCACGTGAACTGGCCCCTGAGGTCGAGGACCGCGTTCATGGCGGTGGGGGGAGTCCCCAGCTGGAGGGTGACGTAGTAACGGTTGGTGGAGTTATCTTTCTTGACGGGGAATACGAGCGGAGCGGGTATGGCTGTGGCCGTGGCAAAGGCTAAGATGAAGCCGAAGAGGAAGAGGGGAATGAAAGGAGGTGATGCAATGGTTGGAGAGGTGGCTGAGAAGAGGAGCGGGAGAAATGCGAGTTTATATAGACTCCGCTAGAAAAGCAAAGGCAAATTGATATAATCGGACTTAACTGGATTTAATTAAGACTCGTCAAGGCCTCTTCCTGCTAAGTCAACGTGGGTTGATAGAAAAGGACAGGGATCAACCCTGGGGTTTCGGAGTCCAAAAGCGTGAACTGTTGCGCAGAACATTAGCGGGCCATGCGCATTACAAAGAAAGCTGAGTAACGAGGCACAAATTCTATTCAAAAATGGAACACGTGGTCCGCCGTTTAAATTAATGCGACTCGTTATTAGACAATGCATTGTTCAGACACAATTAGTCTGCATCAGGTTTTGGTCGCACGTTACTTCACTATCTTCCAAAGCATTGGCAGTTCGATCGAGTCACGTAAGAAATTATCATAATGCTCACCCAGTAGATGGGTCGGTGTTCGTTTGATGTTGAGAAACGAAAACGAAATCCAGATCTCAAAATCACACCAAGACTGCAAGTCTGTAGAATGGGACAGAGGGATAGATCCCATCTGTACCGATCTTTGTCCATATGTTCCACCAAGTCAGACCATTGAGCTAGGGTTTGCAACGCTCTCGACAGTCAATCTCAACATCATTCATGGCGGTGGGGGGAGTCCCGAGTTGGAGGGTGGTGTAGCACTGGTTGGTGGAGGCATCTTTCTTGATGGGGAAAAGGAGCGGAGTGGGTTTGGCTGTGGCCGTGGCCGAGGAGAGAGAGGAGGCTAAGATGAAGCAGAAGAGGAAGACGGGAATGAAAGGAGGTGGCGGCATTGTTGGAGATGTGGCCGAGAAGAGGAGTGGGAGGGATGTTGGGTTTATAGAAACCCGCTTCTGCTTTTTAAAGGCAAAAGGACACTATAAGTGCCATAAGTTGTGTACGGAGATCACTTTGGTGCCATAACTTTTTTTCGGATCACTTTGGTGCCAAGTCGGAGGAAAAGAGATCACTTTAGTGACTCCGGCCAAAATTTCGGCCAAAAAAAGAACCACGTCAGAAGTTCGGCGAGCCACGTCAGATTTCCGGTGAGCCATATCAGCATCGGAAATTAATAAAAAAAGAACCACTTCAGATTTCCGGCGGCCATGTCAGCATTGGCACTAAAGTGATTGTTTTTCAAAAAAGTTGGTACCAAAGTGATCCGAAAAAAAGTTATGGCACTAAAGTGATCTCCGTACACAATTTATGGCACTTATAGTGTCCTTTTGCCGCTTTTTAAAGTAGTCAATTAATTTCGTTAAATTAGGTTTATTCTAATGTTGAAACTCCACCGCCTCGACCGTTGTACAATACTAAACTATATGAATGCCTTATTGACGGCTAGAATAGAAAAGGTAAATTATCTGGGTACACAAACTATGCCGATGTGATAAGCAAGGTCCATATATCATAATACGTGACATCCACGTGTATTTCTCTTATAGGATGTCCGATATAAATCTTGCTTTTATTTTGAAACTTGATTAACTTAGCCTGTTAAAATTATCCACATAACTCCGACAGGTTGCTCAAGTAATAATCGCGCTCTCTAGCTAGGGTTTTTACCACCGTACTTGTATATTTTCTCCGACGGTAGGGATCTCATCCGAGTCAAAAGACTAGGTTCAGTACGTTCACATGAAACATGTACGTTCAGAATATCTGCAGCACTACAATCCAGCAAATAAGACAGCGAGCTGAGTTGTAATCAGTAGTATTAAAATGTTCAGTTCCATTATTCTCGCAAGCAATCTATTTTAAAATTGGATTCAATTAAGGCCTTACTAAGGTATCTCCCTGCTATGGCAACGTGGATTGATAGATAAGAACAGGATAAACTCTTGGGTTTCGAAAGGGCCATAAAGAAACGGGGAGCTTTGGAGCACAGACTCCTGAAATGCTGTCATTCTCCACAGAACTTAATTAATTAATCTCTACGAAGACTCTCTCTATCTCCAATTAACGACTAAAACATGTTGTTCGGCGTTTAAATCAATGGAACTTTTCCAGACATAATTGCCTGCACGGGAGTTGGGCCGCACGCGGATTCTCTATCTTTGGCATTTCGATTCCAAGTCAACAACAGAGCGATGTTCGTTTGATGTTAGAAACGAAACAAATCGAAACTTTAAAATAGGAAAAATGATATAAATAGTTTTTAAACTTTAACCTAATGTGTAATGTGATCTCTGAAATTTTAATTTGTTCGATGTGGTCCCTGAACTTTTAGTACATATTCAAACTAGTCTTTGGACTATATGAAAATATTTAATGTAGCCCTAAACTTTTGATGCAAAATCCATTAGTGGTGCGTTTCTGGACCGGTTGGACAGGCAGAAGTCCAAGCAGAAGGCGAAACGGTGATGCGACTAGAACCGGCGAATCCGGTTGATGACATCGGATCGGGCTCAAATTCGGTCGTTTGAAGCGAAACGGCGGTCTGAACAAAACTCATGGCCTTTGGGGACGACGCGCTACAACATTTGGAGCAGCGTTTAATGGAATGCTTGGATCAACGAATTGATCAAAGTCTTCGTCGTTTCGAAGAACGATTTGACGAGTTAACAGATCGATTCGAAGGTCTCGGCGTTGATGTGAGCCGGAATTAGCGAAACGGCAGAAGACCGGGTGCAGATCTTGCTCGCGGTGATCCTGTTGATAGGCATGTTCCTGTCCGCAGGTGGAATTGTCCGCAGGTGGAATAACCCTCTGTTTTCAGAGAGTTCGGAAGAAGAAGAAAACGATTATTTTGATGAGGAACGTGCTGATTATGGCGGCAGACATCGTCATGGAGGATTTCAAAGAGGATATGATAGGAGAGATGGAAGACGACGTTACGGCGATCGTGAAGGTAACGACTTTAAATTGAAAGTCGATATTCCTTATTTTAATGGAAGTATGGGCATAGAAGAATTTCTAGATTGGACTGCTGATATAGATAGATTTTTTGATTATATGGAGACCCTTGATGAGAAAATGGTGCGATTAGTAGCCTATAGATTAGAGGGGGGTGCGTCTGCATGGTGGGAGAGATTGCAGAATAAGAGGGAGCGAGAAGGGAAAGATAGGGTTCGAACTTGGACTAGGATGAGGAGTCTGCTGAAACAGGAGTTCCTTCCGCTCGACTATGAACAGATTATGTTCCGGCAGTACCAACGTTGCCAGCAGGGCAATCGGACTGTACATGAGTATACGGCCGAATTTATGAGATTGGCGGAGCAGAATAATCTAGCGGAGACGGAGGGACAGCAGGTGGCTAGATATCTCGATGGTTTAAAACCATTCATTCGAGATAAAATTGGGGTGCAGTTTCTGCGAAATTTAACTGAAGCGAAGAATATGGTGATGAAGGCAGAATTGATGCAGCAAGACAAGGGAAGAAGAACATACGAAAATTATCGAGGTAGCAGTTCGAGCACTTCGATAGAGAAGAGCGGTTTCAACAACTGCAACAACCTAGGGCGAAATCAAGAAGATAAGGCATTAGGAAGGCGGCCTATGAACGAGCCGAGGGATAAGGGAACGAAAGCACAGAAAACTGCGAACCCTAACCCTTATGCTAAACCAGCCGCAATAAAGTGTTATAGGTATAATCAACCTGGACACTGATCTAATGAATGCCCTCAGAGAAAAATCGTAAACGTGGCAGCGAGAGATGAGGAAGAAGATGGGTATTGCTGTGAGCCAGATGGTGAAGAAGACGATTTTGAAGATGAAGAAGGGGAAGTAAATTGTGTGGTACGCAGGATGATGTTGGCCCCAAAACAGGAAGATGATTCGCAACGCCATTAGTTATTCCGAACTAGGTGCACTATTCCGGGGAAAATATTTACTGTGGTTATTGATAGTGGAAGCATGGAGAATATCATTGGGAAAGAGGCAGTGAAGAAACTAGGAATACCCGTGGAGAAGCATCATAATCCCTATACGTTAAGGTGGATTAAATTTGGAACGGAAAGCATTCAGGTGACTGAGCGATGTAAAATTCCATTCTCCATTGGAAAATATCATGATGAGCTGTATTGTGATGTGGTAGACATGGATGTATGTCACGTGTTGTTTGGGAGGCCGTGACAATTTGATGTAGATGTGCAGCATTCGGGAAGGAGCAATCAGTATAACCTCGTGAAGGATGTAGTTAAGTACACGTTGCTGCCACTGAAGAATAAAGGAAAACAAGCTGCTGAAAATAATTTCCTTACCCTTACAAGGAAATTGATGCTAAGATTAAGGAAACCCGACAGATTCACGCGTTAATAGTGAAATAGGCATTCGAGCCAGAGGCTGAATTACAAGTGGAGGAGCAGCCCGAATCAGTTAAGCCTTTATTGAAGGAGTTTAGTGAGCTGATGCCTGTGGAGATCCCAGATGGGTTGCCGCCTATGCGCGATATTCAGCACCACATAGACTTAATTCCTTGTGCTAGTCTGCTTAATTTACCACACTACAAGATAAGTCCTAAAGAGAGCGAGATTCTAAAAGAGAAGGTGGAGGAGTTGTTGCGAAAGGGGCACATTCAAAATAGCATGAGCCCATGTGATGTTCCGGCCTTGTTGACTCCTAAGAAAGATGGGAGTTGGCGGATGTGTGTAGATAGTAGGGCCATTAATAAAATAACCATGGGTTACAAGTTTACAATTCCGAGATTGGATGACATGCTGGATATGTTGCACGGTGCTAAGTGGTTCTCGAAGCTGGATTTGAAGAATGGGTACCATCATATTCGGATTCGGCCTGGAGATGAGTGGAAGATAGCTTTCAAAACAAAGGAGGAGTTGTACGAATGGTTGGTAATGCCTTTCGGACTTTCCAATGCTCCAAGTACTTTCATGAGACTTATGAATCAGGTTTTGAAATCTTTTATTGGCAAATTCGTTATAATTTATTTTGATGATATCCTGATTTATAGTAAGACTAAGGAGGATCATTTGATGCACTTAAGGGAGGTGTTGACAGTTTTGCAGATTAATAAGCTGTATATTAATCTTAAGAAGTGCAGTTTTTTAACTAATAAGCTGTTATTCTTGGGGTTTATTATTACTGCTGAAGAAATAGAGGTAGATGAGGCGAAGGTAAGAGCAATCAGAGAGTGGCCGACTCCTAAAACAGTTTCTGACGTTAGGAGTTTTTATGAGTTGGCTACTTTCTATCGGCGATTTATTAAAAATTTCAGTACTATCGCAGCCCCGATTACTAAATGTATGAAGAAAGGAAAATTTCTATGGGGAGAGGAAGCAGAGAATAGTTTTGTTATTCTGAAGGAAAAGTTATGTACTGCACATGTTCTTGCCTTACCTAATTTTGATAAACTGTTTGAAGTGGACTGTGATGCCAGTGGAGTGGGTATAGGAGCTGTTTTGTCTCAAGAGTGCAGACTAATTTGCTATTTCAGTGAGAAGCTTAGCGAGGCGAGGCAGAAGTGGAGCACTTATGATAAAGAATTCTATTCGTAAGGGCTTTGAAGACCTGGGAGCATTATTTGATTGGGAAAGAATTTGTCCTTTATTTTGATCATGAAGCTTTGAAGTATCTAAATAGTCAGAAAAGGATTAGCAAAGATATGCATGCGTGATGGTATCAATTTTTGCAAAAATTTCCTTTCAGATTACAGCACAAGTAATGTGTGCATAATGTCGTAGCAGATGTGTGACATCATGAAAATTGGTCTATTTGGGATTTATGAAATACTGGATTTTATGAATGTACTCGTAGTTAGCTCTCGCCCGGAACTGATCATTCCTGGGATACTAACCATTAGGAAAAGGCTAACGGGGGATTTAAATTCGTGCGACTA